AGGCTAATTCGTCTATATTCCAATGCTGAAGACTTTCACAGCAAGCTCATCAGTGCAAGTCATTTCTCTGTCTTTTGCAAGAAGTTAATTAGGTAAATGAACTGTCAACTTTTCCAATCAAATAACAATTAGTGTTCACACATGGCGGAAATGTGGGAGGCAAATGCTAAAAGACGCCACTGGCCATGGTGCATAGAAATGCTTATTAGACTGAATAGCTATTTTACTCTATTGAACAAGATATTTGTGGCATATTTAAGCATTTGTCTACATTGGATTAAAATAGGTAATTAGAAATGGATTCCAGTTACCTGTCACTAACAACTGCTATAACTCACAGTTATAACACTTAGCTATCACAGAAAGATAGCTAAGTTAATAAAGTGAGCACACTTAAAGTGACACTAAACTTTGGAGTTAAATCTTAAACATGTATTCAAGTGCCCTATTAACAAAAATTTACCTTATTTGTGTATTACTCGGCTGTAGATCCTCAAATCATCTCTGAATTGGTGCTGACACTGTCCTTCCTTCTGGAGGGTGGCTACTTTTGTTCTTCATGGTCCCTGTGTGTGTTGTAAAGTTCCTGAGTTTAACTCCTGAGTTTGGTGTCACTGTAAGCATGTTAGTAAATGCCAACTCGGATATTTATTCTGGCTTCTTCTTCTATTATTATTATTATTATTATAAACAGGATTTATATAGTACCAACAGTTTGCACAGCCCTTTACAAAATGGAGGGAGATGGAGAACTCTAGGCAAACTGTAGAGTTTGCCTAGAGTTCGGCTTCTTAAAGTAGAACTCTAACCAAACGGCTATATACACAGATGAAATGCATATAATGGAGCCATTTCATCCACCAAAATATTGGTATTTCTATCATCCAGTTCTGAGATTTACACACCTCCACCCCAGAGCACAGCCCTGTCTGGTAGGGAAGGAGAACTGATTTTGCTCTGCTGCAGTTAGGTTACCCTTAGAAGCCTTGTGCCTCCCGAGCCTGGGACTGATTTCAAATCTTTTCAATCTTGACACAATTATGTAGACAACAGCATACTACAGCTTGTCCTTCTCTGCTTTTACAGTATATTAAACTCCTCCAGTATAGCAGAATGCAAGTCTTTATTGCTTTACTGAACTGGATTCTGCCTCGGCTCTAATTACATATTTGTATCAGCGGACTAAAGTAAAATTCACTTCAGTATTTTGTGTCAAGACATTAGACCTTACGCAACAGACGTTCACGTCTGTAATAACCCTCCTGGGATCTTCTCCACTGATCTGACGCCAGTATCTATCAAAACACAATTGTAAGATTAAGCCAGACCAAAAGTGATATTTAAGTTGATTCTGGTGAATTACATACTAGTTCCCTGTATGTCCTGGTTGTGAAATGTCCCTGCCAGATTGTTTGATTGTTCAGCCAAAAGAGCATTTATGAGATCCTGTACTAATATTGGATGAGAAGGCTAGGCTGACAACCAGTGTTCCAATCCATCTGCCATATCCAGGTACAGGCCACTGAAGTTTCTTTACACTAAGCTCATCAAACCATGTCTTTATGGACCTGCCTTTGCACACAGAGGCACAGTCATAAAACAGAAAAGGGTTTTTCCTGTTATTACGATTATTATTATTCAGGATTTATATAGCTCCAACAGTTTGCATGGCGCTTTACAACATATGGAGAGCCAGTTCAATTACAATACAATACAAAAGAATTAGAAGGACCCTACATGTAAGAGCTTACAATCTACAAGTTATCTCAAGGTTGGATATGCACAATTGTCTGTCTTTGTACCATATGCATTGATAGAACCCTCCACTGAAAACAGGAGCTCAACAGGTTGAACTTTTGGCCATCCACTGTGCCTAGCTACAGAATTTAGACAAGCAAAACAAATGGCAAACGCACTCATCAACTCATAATCAGCTTTAAAGCACGGTGCACATGGTTGAGCTTTAAACAGTGCAGGTTAGCCAGAAGACATCACAACCTCCTTAAGGTCTCAGCTGCCGTTGTGATGTGCGGGTCCCTTGTGTGTCCCTGTGCCTTTAAGGAGGTTGGGCTGCCCCCTGGCGAACCTGCACCCAATTTATCGTTTGCTACATGTGCTCCAAGATAGAGACTCTCATAGGTTAGAGTTAGGACCGCACTACACAGAGGAGCCTTGACGAGGCGGTGCGGCTTTCACATATTCTGCAGAAGACGTGTATCTAAAACCTCTGTTTTTAACCTTAGTGGTTTGACAGGTTTTTTTACATGCTGGCTGGTGAGTGTGCTGGCAAACGTTTTGCTGTTGTACTGGATACAGAATTTAAACACAATAGTGGTATACACAGAAATATAGTTTCTATGGGTTAGGTTTTATTTTCCACAGATTAATCACACTAGCTTAAATTGTATTATTATTATTATAATACACTGAGCCAGGGTTCTTGCTGATGAATAAAAATGACAAGCCAAGATGTAATTCCACCCCCACCCCCTCCAGACAACATAAGGGTTAGAGGAATTTCCCCAAAGCTTATCTCTTATTGACTGGGCTAATAAAACTGTATCACAAATTACCTCAATGCTCATTTATTTTGTAGAGATAGATAGGGAAGTCTAGGAAGAGACACAGGCGCACTCTAAGCAAGACACATTGCTGCTCTGAATTTTATAGCCATCATAAATTTGTCTAATTAGCCAAGGTGGGTACATGGATTTCAGGCTTCCAGCTCTACCAATTCATCATCAGTTCATAAATTCATTCTGTACAATGCCAATGACACTATTCCAGCTGTTGCTGCACCAGGAGTCAGATTTCATTGCAATGAATTGTTACTTAGGACTGTATTGTGTAATGAATTGCATATTTTTTCCCCTAATCTAGATGTGAGATGATGAGGTTTTCAGGGAAAATAAATGTGCTACAAAAAAGGGAAGCTATAAAAGGATGTTATTACATGGTCTGAACCATTGTGTAAGGCGTTTTATTGCAATATATATAATGTAGTGTTTCCAATATAATTAAAAAGGACCTTACTTAATAATTATGCATAACTATTAAACAACCTCTACATACTTTTCTTGAAATTAAATGCTCCTCTGTCCCAATGTACCTTTCAGTCAGAGACTTGACAACACCCTAAAAGTGTCATATAGAAAGGGTTGCAGTTTCAGCATCAATTATTTTTCTATAATGCATTTTTTAATTATTGACCTTCATTCTTCAAACTATGGGAGACTAGTGTTAACAGGGTTCATTTCCTGAAGGCATATATGCTGTTTACATAGAATTTAAGGTTGAATAAAGACACATGTCTAACAAGTTCAACCTTTGCGAGCATGTGTCTATGTGTGCGAGTCTTTGTGTGTTCCAGTCATTAAGAGTACCTGTAACCATGTTATGGTCTCTGTGGAAAAGTATCTAAATGATTTTTGAATGATTCCATACTATCTGCTGATACCACTGCTTGTAGAACAGAGTTCCACAATTTTACTGCTCTAACAGAAAAGAATCCTCTTCTCCCTTTGTGGTTAAACCTATTTTCCTCCAATTTCAGATGGTGGCCTCTTGTCTTCTTTAGGGAGTTTACAATAAAATGTTTATTACTGATATTTTAATCTTACCTCATATCTTTGGTCCTCCATCTCTTTTATTAGTTTTGTTGCCTTTCTCTGGACTCTCTCCAGTTCAAGGATATCCTTTCTTTGGAATGTTGACCAATATTGAACCACATACTCAAGATAAGGCCAAACCAATGTTTTGTAAAGTGGCAAAATGATTGCTTTGCCTCTACAATACCTACCTTTTGTTATGCATGTCATGCGTACTATGCTAGTTTTTTTGCTGCCGTTCGGCATTGCATGATATTGTTAAGTCTGCTGTCAATGAATGACCCCATAATCTTTTGACATTTCTGACTTCCCTAGTGGAGCTCCCATTAACGTGTAGCTTGCATGCCTGTTTTTAACCCCAAAATGCACTGTTTTTAACCCCACTATACATTTTTTCAATATTATATTTATTACAGGTATTAATACATAGTTACATAGTATTTGAGGTTGAATAAAGACACATGTCCATCAAGTCCAACCTAGTGTGTGTGTGTGTGTGTGTATAGATCCCCGAGTCATCTCGTTATTAGGAGTACTTGTACCCCTGTATATTACCGTTTCTCAGGAAATCGTCCAACAGCTTCTTGAACAATTCCACGCTATTAGCTGAAATCACTGCTTGTAGCAACAGGTTCCAGACCCTAACGTTGCTGACAGTACACATTCACATCAGTCCCTGCCCTCAAAGAGCTTACAATCTAAGGTCCTTATCTCAAATGCATACATACAAGGGCCAATTAACCTAACAGCATGTCTTTGGAGGGTGGGAGGAAACCAGAGTACACAGCGGAAACCCATGCAAGCACATGGAGAAGATGAAAACTCCTTGCATGCCTCATCTGCCCTGTAGTTGCCCACTCCCCTATTTTATCAAGGCCTTCCTGTAATGTTGCAATGTTTAAGCTTGTGTTTATTACCCTCTTTGCAAGGGAATTTTCCATTTGCTTAGTGAATGAGGTTAAACTCTGCTGACTTCGCAAAAATACTGTTTGGTTTTTCTACATTTCCTTGCACGTGAATGAGAATTTTTTGCAAAGTGAATTTTCATCACAATCACTAAGAAAAAAAATTCCCTTGCATAATGAACAGGCTATTCACCTTTAGTAAATCCGCTGCACTGAATCAACAACTTGACCTCACCCCCTTCCAACTTTGGAGTTTCATTATTGTGATGGGCAGTCATATTGTATTAAGTATTTCACACTTTAGGTTTGCTATCACTGCATTGGAGTTTGAGTTTTATCATCAGAGTTTGTATATATACTGTATGAGTCTCTTTCTAAATAGGTAAAAGGGCAAAGACAATACAGATTACTGAAACATACACTGAGGGAGGATAGAAAAATACACTAGACTTTTTGAAAAAATAAATAGTTTATTACTGTCCTAACCAAAATAAAATTGAAGCCAGGACAAGAAACAAAACGTTTATCTAAACAGCAAAATTCTGCCACATGCTGTGTGGTCATATTGACACAAAAATCATCCAATATGTTGAAAACCATCTGCAGAGTATATGTGATCTTCAAGCATTACATTTTTGTGATACAGCATATTTTATTATCCAGGATCATTTGTGCTCTGCAGCTGTTTACATAAGACAGCGCGCAGTATGCTGGCGCATGCAAGGCCATGATGGAAGTTGTAGTTTAGCAACAACTGGAAAACAAAAGATGTAGTTTGCAAAATCTTTATAGGTTAATAAACCTTATGTTTAATGCTCAGTGGGTAGGAACTGTACATATCACCCATAGGAGACTAGAACGCTCACAATGTATTATTACTGGAGCCACTTTGTAAGCAGCTCGTATATGTGTTTTCTTACAGCTGGTAAAATGGGAGGTTCTTGTATTCGGGCAGGATACATATCAGCACAGTGAGCAGCATCTGCAACAATAAAGGTCAGATAATAATTAGTAATCCTACTTCTATTAACAAGAGCTACTTGATGGTCCAAAACAATGTTTATACGTTTATGTAACAGTCTAATACCTAGAATAAGATGTATGAAGGGCCCCCTGCCAGATAAAAGATACTTCTAGTCTGTTCTATATTCCAGCGATGTGCTGCCAAAATAGCGACACTTTGAGAGATATGACAGTTCTAGAATTAAAACACAACGCTGATGAAGGAAGCAGCAGCAGTTCTGATCATTTTTGAATTGCCGTAATATTTGCATGTAGATCGGTCATATCTGCCGAGACTGATGCAGTTCGGGGGTTTTGCTAGGCTGTGTTGGGGAGAGCAGTAGTAGTATCTCATGCTGACAATTTCACACCTTCAGAGTTTTGGATGTTCTTGTCTACTTTGGGATTCTCTCAGGTCTCAAGGTGCATTCTCTACAATGTGGTTTCAGTAGGTGGGCAAAGCTAGCAGCTCAAATGAAAAGATCAAAGAGAACCAGATTCCCAGAGATAGACAAGACAAAAGTGGTAGTTCAATGTTCTGCCATCTACCAAATTTGGGTTATCACTTTTAACTGGATTTGTTCTTTAATGTAGTAAATAAAGTAGACTTTTAATATTACTCCAGATGCTTGAATGCTCTGTTTTTCTAGATCTCATACAGTCTAGTTCTGCTGTCGATTATCAGATTGCATTATCAGGTCAAACTTGACAGTTGCTTGTTTTGTAGTGTAGGGGACTACAATGTTTAAGGATGAAAAGCACAAGCTGCTATGGTCCCACAAAGGGTACAAGAGGTTCAAGCCCAATTAAACGTTCAGTTTAAATCAGCTAAATACATTTCAGGTGCATAAAACTAAATATATGTTTAAAATCTTTTGGTTCATTTTCTTCAGAAATTAACTAAAACCCAAGTTGAAAATCATATCCTCTGCCAGCAGCTGCAGAGTTGGACAATTGCTCTCTTTGGGGAAGCAGTGGTCTGTCTATGAAGGTTCCAACACACTCTGTGATGAATCAGAGCTAGACCTCTACAATCAACAGGGAGCATGAGCTATGCTGGATGAAAAAAAAAGGTATTTTTCTGTCTCAGCAAAGTTTTGTTGAACCTCTGCAGGAGGAGACCACAAAAAAAAGCAAGGGTCCCAATCTGCTGCTACCGGCAGGTGGCAGTATGAATGTAAGACATTGAGCACCTTTTCTTTTTATGCACCTGGAATGAGTTTAATGGATTTAAACTGAACTTTTAAAGTGGTATAAAACCCTTATGGAAATAAACGTTTCCCTCTAGATCCATGTATATAGCAGCACCTTTAATGTTTTCGTAATCTTGCTCTCAAAATATATTTTCTACTGTTTATGAGAAGATCGCCACTGTACTCTACAAATACTATCTCTGCGGCTTCTCCAAACTTCCCCATGTGGGGCGCACACTTTCCGCAGCATAGTCTCAGGAGCTTGCATGTAAGGGCGGCTCCAGGGAGACCCTGGATGACAAGTAGGCACCCTAAAAGTGCAGCTGTACACAAGGAGACCTTTGTGTTCTCATTTTCAGAAACAAAGACATAAAAAGGTAAAATAAAAACAGCAATTAGGCAATGTATGCATGCATGCATGCATGCATGCATGTATGTATATTATGCCCTTGCATTTTACTTACATTTAAAGATTTAATAACACTTTATTTGGGCTTTAACTTGACTCACCATTTCTGATTACTCTGTGTACTGCCCAACAAGCCTAAAACCCTAGAAAAGAATGACACACGCATGCATCTGCCGCCAATTGTTGAATTATGACCGATACATGAAAATACCTTTGCTTTTAAAAAAAGAGGCTGTAACTCATGAAGAAAAGGTATTTTTGCAATGTCACCTCAAGCTAAACAGCTATCATTATAAGAAAAGTGTAACAGTTTTCACATCAAAAATAAGTTTTCTTGCATATACAGTACAAAAGTCCAGTCCGATATGAGCAATGAAACTATCATGTCTGCACAAAGGTGCCTATTAATCTAATGCATGATAGAATCATAACAATAACCTGATCATCTTGTTGCTTCAACATGGCTGATGAATGAAAATTTGCTTATAACTCAGACATTTTAACATTCCGCACATAGTATCCAAGGATGCATGTAATCTGACTGTCCAAATTCACTGGACTTTGGGAAGGGAAGTGGATGAAGTTTTTCTATGAAATGTTACCAGTCGGAGATATCAATTGTAGATATAACTTCAGTGACCTTGAGGCTGAAGTTATACCTTCGCAGTAACTTATTTTTGTATTTATAAAAAGGGCCTGTTTAAAAGAAAATCTGGCTGTGCTACAATACACTATACAATTATTAACTTGAGACTAATAGAAACACGGTTTCATTAATTACCTTGAACTTGTACTTTTTTGTTTTATAACTTTTAAAAATTAAAAGTCCGGCCCTTCTTGCAGCTAGTAACATAAGAGGTTCTTCAGGTCGGGCAGAGACCACAGGATCCCTGTTATTACCTTTTATTAGTCAGAAAAGATTCTTCTCCAAGTTATCTCTACATTGTTATTGTGGCCTGACTTTCTGTAACTTCACAGCTAAACTCCACTATCTGCCATCCTCCTGTCAAATGAGGCACTTTTTAGTGGTCACTGAAACTACCATTTGACAAAAATAAAAATGGGAGGCCCAGTTACAAAGTTAAATGAAATGTAGTTACAGTGAGGATGGGTTTCTGGATAATACATTTACCATCAAGCATCCTGTGAGTTGATCGGAGGCAATACACTCCATGCAGTCACTAAAAGTGAAATATCCAAAATGCTTCTGGTATCCGTCATTGTGATTTGCCTACAATTTAGGTCTAATGTGGAGCTTAGGAACATTATTTTTCTATCAAATGAGACCGACATTTTCCATGTTGATTCATGTGTAAATGTAATAGCAGGTCTACTTTAGCTTGTATATGGTTTTTTTTCCACACTGACAATCATTTTATATTTTAAGCTAAAAGATGGTTTATTTATAGCAGTATGTTTTCCTTTTAGGGCAGGTTGTACACCATAAATATATTGGAACTCAGTCTGAAAGGGTATTTTTCGCCTTCGATAGAACCTCTGTCTGTTTTTAATTGATGTTTGTGGTCAGTTAGGAAGAATGACTGACTTTGAGGATCAACTGGGAAAGGAAGTGTAAGTAAATCTCCTCACTGAGGACACAGACCGCAATAAAAACCAGACAGCAATAAAAACCAGACAGGTGTTTTAATCCTTTTCCACCCGCACAATAAAATATATAGCTGACATTTTATTTTAACATTATACCAGTGTTCTGAGCCTAAAAGGAAAACTGAGCTTATACAAGAATCTAAGTAATACAGTCTTAAAAGTATTATAACAAAGCTTTATATTTGTCTCTTTATTTCATTTTACTTTCTTTGCCTGTGGGCTTGTCCACACCAAGAGCGGTAGAGCTGCTGGAACGCACCGCAAGAAACAGGAACGCATCGCTCACAAAACATCCCCCTGCATTCTGGGGCGTGGCAAAACATTGCCTGCGTTCTGTTCCACTGCAAATGCAAAAATTAGAGCATGCAGCATTTTTTGCATTTGTAGTGGAACGGAACGCAGGCAATGTTTTGCCATGCATCCGATCGCACTGCATGGGTGCACCGCCACACCCCCTCCTCCCGCCCCAGAACGCAGGGGGAAGTTTTGTGAGCAATTGCGTTGCGTTCCAGCAGCTCCCGCTCCGGAACGCAACGCAATTGGTGTGAATAAGCCCTGTAGGTTAGAGCTTTGACAGTTGTTGCCCCATCATCATACATGCATACCTAGAGTGTGACATCAGGCAGTTTACAAGAGATATATGAGGTGACCTCCTGACTTAAGGTGCACAGTAAGGCCCCTTTCACACGGACGCCTGTCAGTTCTGATCGGCATGGGATCTCTGCACAGATCTCCTGCTGGTTCTTAACAGATTTTTTGGCAAACGTCAACAAATGGGAGTTTGCCATGAGCATGTTTGAATTTATTAGCTGGCCTGTACTGATGTTGAACTTTTTAGAAACAGCTTATCTAAATTATCAGCTTCACTTTTTTCCCCAAACTATGTTTTTTTCTATTAACACCCTCTGTGAAGGTGCCCATACACCTTACAATTATCTGCAGATTTTCTGTGGTCAGATGGAAAAAGTGCAACAGATTGGCCCAGGTGGAGATTGCTCCATCCACACAGTTAAGTGTAGATTGAGGAATCTGTTGCACCTTTTCCATCTGACCACAGAAAATCTGCAGATAATTGTAAGGTGTATGGCCAGCTTAACACTTTCCAATTTAACAGCCAAGCCATTTTAGTACTTTGTCAAGATTCCTCTGACTTTCCGTGTAGTGGGTCACTGGCCATATAGCTTTTACCTTGTCAAATATATTCAAAATCTGATATCAGGTTCTACAGCTGTTATATGTGTGCATGATCATTGACAGATAAGAGACAAGCCATACTACTACAAAAGTAAAACTAGGTGAAGAGAAGTAAAAATTGCATGGCTTACACAGAAGAACTGCTGTTTGTTTTTTATAGGCAAAAGGTAGACGAGTAATGTACCGAAAAGACATAAAAGTAATAAAAGAAATATAGTGGGAATTTACTGTGAAAACAGATCAATAAACCTTCACTAAGTGCCTGGGAACTGTTTCATTATTTTACCAGCAAATCAAGAAAATGTAGTTTACAATCAGTGGCTGGTAGACAGCAAGAGACTTGGGATATCAAAAAGTGGATCATAATGTGCTCCACTGTAATAAATCTAACCCCCAGGTATGGCAATAGATTGAATACCAGGGATGAAAAAAAAAATACAGCTGAAGAGGAACTTTACCCATATCTTCAAAATGACTACAAAAAGGCACTTTTAAAAATGTTTAGTGATGACATTCTACAAACAAAATTATAAATAATTGCAGGCTTTTTATTCTTTGCATACTGAGAACTAGCTTCGACTGATGCATAAGGAGGTAGTCCACTCGCAAACTTCTTTTTAGGGCTTCCTGACCACATTTAGAAGTTTGCACACATTTTCCCTCAGAGGGGTTTCTTAAAGATAACAGAACTTCACAGTTGTCAAAGTCTCAACGACTCCAGGTTGTCACTTTAAACAAAACTTCTGCCACATAGGCTGTAGCCCACACATTGGCCACACAGGCTAGTTCCAAAGATGGAGCCCTTCTGACTCCTGGACAGACACCTCGTCTGTCTCCCTGGTGGAACCCTGAACACTAGACAGCAGCTTTTTCATAAAGGTTGTGCACAGATACACAATCATTAGGTGCTGGTCACTACCAACACCCGGACCCAGGAATGGAGATATCATCCCTCCCAATTCTCTTAGAAATCACCTGGTTCCAGGATCCCAAGCCAAATCCAGAAGACCTGGAAAGAACTGTACAGCCAGCTCTTTCCTGGTAAAAGTAATTGCTTCCTCGAACCGCTGCGCCCCTCTGGCTGAGAGTCCTGGGTGACCACTTCGCAAATTACACAGTGGCATTGCCACAATACATTTTTTTCCCCCATTCTTTTTAAAGGGCAGATTACTAGATCTCCCTTACTTCCTGGAACATGTGACTAGGACATGTGGCTGTGCACATTTCAGGGGAGGACAAATGCCTTTCTCTGAGATCTCATGAGATTACAGATGAGATTTCCTAGCAATGCTCTGCTGATGTAACCTTCCCAGGATGCAGGGTTTGGGCAAAATTACATAATTTGTGCCAAAGTGGACCAGGAAGTGGAAACAAATTAATTGTAAGTAAAATATAAATATGTTTGTTTAGCTAATAAATGCAAGATGATTTCATATCAATATGCAGAGCTGGATGCTGATGTGATTTTTAGTCAAAGGGGGTAAAGGTCCACTAAGTCAGAGTTTCAGACAAGGCTAGATACATTAGCATCAGTCCACTCACAAAGGGTCAGACAATGCAGCAGATATCCCCAATTACTGTACAATTTACAAAATTAGAAAACATTTCTATGGCCAATGGTATTTTTGACATTTGTAGAGTTTTCTATATAAAAATTACCTTGCATTGGAATAGCCACGACATCGCTGCTAAGGCTCCTGTTAATCCCCAGTGCATGCCAAGGGTCAATTAATCCATTTGGAAAAATGGTTCTACTGCTTTGAATATTAAGGCCACCATAATTTTCATTTGTTTGCTGAATGCCAGCCGTAACCACTGACGAATTAAATTCGGAGCAGTAAATATCAGCACACTGTTGGATGTGGTAGCTGTGAAAACACAAGGACACAACATGTTTTATGTACACATTGAAATACTTGTGCATTTGTCTATGTAGAATGAAAACAAAAAACTCTTCATGGTTATGTAACAGTAAAGTGACTGAAGCAGATTTCTGGGGTCCCAAGAAAAGTAGGCTCCTGGCAGGTATGTGTTTAAACGAGCTGACCAATGTCACAATGGTGACTTCCAACAGCATGATTCTCTGTTCAGGACACTAGGAGGAATTGAACCTGTAAGGTATGTGGAAATGGTTGTTGCTCCTTCACTTGACTTGCACCTGTGACTTGTAGTCCACACTTCAGCTCAAATTTAAAACGTGCCTTAAACCCACAAAACAGAAATCTCCTTTACCTTTTCTGAAGAGCTGACACAAGAAGAGATCGATGAAAGATGCCTTTTTCAGAAATAAATCAGCACTGGTAGAGAAGGAGCGGAGGACCCAGTCACAGACCCATGGCAACAGCAGCCAATAATAGTTCCATGATCGTTGGTTACAAGTGGTATCTTCTAACCAATCAGTATACGAATTGTTGGTTACCAAACTAAGCCTTGGATTAGTGTAAGACAGCATTGAAAATGCCCCTTGTGGCAGGATGTTACCAACATGGCGGACTATTTGTTGTTCAATCATACAATTTTTACAGAGGAAAAGGAAAAATAACTACAAAATAACATTTAACGCTGTGTAGGATAAAACGGGAAATGTATTAATACTTACCGTAATTTTCTTTGCGTGGTTATATTCCATGGCAGCGCTGACATTGGGGTTATACTCCTTCTACCCCTAGTTGACAGGAACAAAAAGGGTTAACATGTACTACCCTCAGCCTATACAAGCCCATCCTACTTCATAGTACTCCAGTCTAGGTACCAAGCCAAGTATCCCATCGGGTGGGAGCTCAGCGCTGCCATGGAATATAACCAGGAAAAGAAAATTACGGTAAGTATGAATACATTTTCCATTTTCCTGGCCATATCCACGGCTGCACTGACAATTGGGGACTCCCCAAGCAGAAATCAGGGTGTGAACAAAATCATATAGACACAAAAAAGCATGCTGAAAAATATTTAATGATTGACTTGATGGCGAGAAAGTAACACACTCCTGCCAAATTGGTCATTAACCACTCTAACATCCAATCTGTAATTTGGAAGCCCAAGTAGCGGCTCTGCAGATTTGGTCTGAAGAAACACCTGCTGCTGCGGCCCAAGAAGAGGACATCGCCCGAGTGGAGTGAGCCCTGATGCCTTCCGGCAGAGACAGTCCCGCTGATCGGTAGGGGTTAATAGTAGACACAATCAACATGCTCAGAGTAGCATAGCCCTTTCCTTGATCCTGCGGGAATAATAAATCTGTCGGATTTTCGCCATTCCCTACACCGGTCCACATATATTCTGAGACATCTAACCAAGTCCAGACCCTGCAAATTGAGAGCAGGCAACACGATATCCCGATTCATGTGGAAACTGGCATGTACTTTTGGCAAAAATTCCAGAGCGGTCCTCAGAATTACCCTATCCTCCTGGAAGACGAGAAAAGGATGTTTACAGCTGCATGCCTGGAGCTCCAATACTCTCCTACCGGAGGCTAAGGCTACCAAAGAGACTGTCTTGTAAGAGGAACTGAAATGAGAAAATGAGACCTCGTCTAATGGTTCAAAGGGAGGACCTGAAAATTCACCTAACACTAGAGGAAGATCCCAAGATGGAGAGAGAGGCCTCCTCTGAGAGTTAACCTTCCCTACTGCCTTCAGAAACCTGGCAATATACTGATTCTGAGACCATCTGATACCAGTGATAGCTGAAATAGCTGATACTTGTACTTTGAGCGAGCTGAGACTTAGCTTCTTTTCCAGACCTGTTTGGAGAGTATTGCTTTTGGAGAAGGGAGAGAAGGGTCAATCCCGGTATCCCTCGGCCATGTAGAGAATATATTCCACAAAATCGATAAGCCGCCGAAGTGGGAATTTTCCTGGACTTCAACATTGTGTCCACCACTGCTTGAGAAAAGCCAGATTTCTTCAGCCTCTCCCTCTCAACAGCCATGCCGTCAGTTAAAGGCTGTGTGGATTTGGGTGGTGGATCGGCCCCTGGGACAGAATATCCACTGACACTGGGAACCTCCTGGACAGGAATCTGCTGACCTGGCAGTTCTTGTATGATGCCATGAGGTCCACTTGAGGTCTGCTCCATCTCTGACTAAGCATGTTGAAGATCTGCCTCGAGAGAGACCATTCCGTAGGGTCTATGTGGTTTCTGCTGAGATAGTCCGCCACGTGGTTCCGAGTTCCTGGCAGGTACACCGCCTTTATTCCCTCCAGATTCTGCACTACCCAAGTAATCATAGGTGATAGAATTTGCATCAAGCTAGGGCTCCTGGTGCCACTCTGATGGTTCATATATGCCACAACCGTGGCATTGGCCACCAAAACTTTGAGCCATTTGAAGTAAATGTCCTGAAAAGAAATGAAGCGCCTGAAACACTGCCTTCAGCTCCAACAGATTGGAAGGCTTGTTTATCCACTCTCGTGGCCACAATCCCTGTGCGTAGCGGCCCTCCAGATGGGCCAGATGGGCCCCCCATGTAGTGATGGTGACGATGGGATCTCCCCCCAACGGATACCCCTGGAGCAAATTTTCGTCCCGGGACCACCGTTTTAGGGAGTGGCTGACTTTGAGAGAAATCTTGAGTTGCTGCCTCTTGTCCCGATATCTGTATTGTTTGAGGAGGGAGTCCTGAGTCACCCTCATATTCCATTGTGCCCATTGAGTAAGGCCTATGGACGAAGACATGGAACCTAGAAGGCTCATGAAGGATTTGGCCGTGATCTGTGTGTACGATCGGACTGATCCCACCTTCTGTTTGATCCTCCGCACTCTGTCCCCGAACAGCTGAACCACTCCCCAACTCGTATTGAATTCTGCTCCCAAATATACCATCGTTTGGGTTGAAGTCAGAACGCTCTTCTCCATATTCAATACCCATCCGTACCTTCTCAGGGTATCCATACTAAACTCTGCTGAAGATTGCCTCCGCTTCCGAATTCGCCAGGATCAACACATCATCCAAGTAATTAAATATGTTGATGCCTTGCTGGCAGATCTCTGCTATGATGGTAACGAGAACTTTCGAGAAAGTCCTGGGCGCGGTGCTGAGTCCGAATGGCATTGCCCTGAACTGGAAGTGCCTGTGGGTTGATATAGAACCGGAGGAAGTGTTGGTGGCCCGGAGCCACGGGGATGTGAAAGTATGCGTCCTTCAGGTCTATGGACACCATCTACATATTCGGCCGGACCACTTTGATTATGGTACGAAGAGATTCCATCTTGAATTTCCTCAACTTCACAAACCGGTTGAGTTGGTGAAGGTCCAGGACCGGTTTCCACTCGCCGTTCGCCTTGGGAGTCAAAAAAAAGATGGGAATAAAAACCTTGGAACTGCCGATTCTTGGGAACAGGCACAATTGCCCTTTGGACCAACAGGGATTCCACATAGTCCAACATAACCTGCTTCTTTGCCGGCACTCCTGGCAACTTGGTTTTGATAAAGCGTCCTCTGGGGGGGAGAAAGCGGAACTCGATTCTGTAACCTTCATTGACGATTTTCAGTACCCAGGCGTCCGTCACTAAACTTGCCCAGAGATCCGAGAATAGCTGCAACCTTGCGCCCACCCTCAGGTCTCCGATTTTGTAAATCTCGTGTTTTTGCCTCTGTTTCCTCTGGCAGTGCCGGATCCTCCTCTCCATGCCTGAGTGCGAGAGGTCTCTCTCCCGGGTTTATAGGATCTGGAGTCACGAAAGGACCAGTTACTCTGACGAGCCCTTCGATGCCTAAAGCTTTGCTTACTTCCCCTCTCCTGTGGAAGCATGGCTTTCTTACTCTCAATAGACTTCTTGATGTAGGAATCCAATTCCAGACCAAACAACATATCCCCTGGAACGATAGAGAGCACAAACTGCTCTTCGATGAGGAATCGGCACCCCATGATCTGAGCCGAAGTGCCCTTCTAGCTACCACTGAAGACACCATTCCTCTGGCCAATGACTGGACGAGGTCATCTGAAGCTTCCGTAGAGAATTCTGCTGTCAGCTTCATGTCCTGGATCCTATCCAGAAGCTTGTGCCTACTTACTTCCCTCTTGATATCTTCTTCCAGATCCTCCAACCACAATCTGGATGTGCGAGATACTGAAGACAAAGCCACCCCTGGATGAAGACCCATCCTCAAAGAAGTATAGGCCTTCACCAAGTTGCACTCCATCTTACGGTCCATAGAATCTTTAAAGGATCCTGCATTATCTACTGGTAAAGCGGTGTGTTTCTCTAATCACACTACTGCCGCATCAACTTTGGGGGCTGAATCCCAGCTGCTGTAATCAGTGCTGCTAATAGGATAGAGGCGGGAGAACCTGCCTTTAGAACCCATTCTCTTCTCTGACTTGTCCCATTCTTCCTTAATGAGCTTCTTCGTGCCTGCTGGAAGGAGACAAGGCCTCTTCCAGCTCCCGCATATCCAAGGTTTTGCGCACCAGAGTGATAAGCGCATCCATCTTCTTGGGTTCCAAAGAGAGTGTGGCAGGTGAACAACCGTGGTCTGAGGTAGAGTAATATTCCCCCCGTCATCACCCGTGTCACGATCGTGTCCTCGCGCATGCGCAGTAGCTCCCACTGAAGCCTCATCTGCCCGAACAGACTGCCCTCATGCCGCCACCGCACACAACGGAACGGAGGGAGAGCCGACAGCCACAGCAGGTATCTGCCACATGAATATGTCCGGGGGAGGGGGGCATTCACAACTTGGTGCCCATTCGTACTGCACGGTACACAACCCCATGCGGAACACCCTTGCTCGGGGCTGGATCCTGAGGGCTTCCCAGGGGAGAGAGGCTGAACTCCCCTGGGGCCAAATCACCAACAATATCCCAAGATAAAATAAAGAACTTCCTGCCCTAGGTAGACAGGAACAAAAAAGACTGGAGTACTATGGAGTAGGAGGGGCTTATATAGGCTGAGGGTAGTACATGTTAACCCTTTTTGTTCCCGTCAACTAGGGGTAGGAGTATAACCCCAATTGTCAGCGCTGCCATGAATATGGCCAGGAAACTTATTTTTCAAGTGTACATAATTATGTGACTACAAAAAGGTCTATGGTCATAGGGGCCACCACAGTTAAAATAGTGTCTTGAAACATTATTAAACTGTGGCCCTGACCAAAACCTCCCCTTCTGACAAAAAATGTTGTATTATTTACACTACATTCTCTCCACACATCACTGCTGAAATGTTAATGTTGACCTAAACTTAAAAAGTAAGCATTTGTTATTGTAGCCCCCATCACCTTCTGTGATGTGGCTACTAGATATTTAGTGATAGCCAGGGCTGTAGTCAGCCTGGCTGGATTTGTAGTGGCAATTATCTGGTTAATCCCAGGTGCCTAGCCTTGCCTGTATTCCCCTGGGCGGAGTGTGACTGTCATATTGTGGGACAGCCAATGAAAGCTACTGTAATGTACAGTACAGCAGCCAATCACTGGGCTTCTTTCAGCCAGTGGTGCATGCTGGGATAGGGTACATATATTGGTGGGATCTGCCATGTGCTCAGACTTGCCGGGACCAGCCATGGATTAGGGCTGGGTCCTGTTCAGCCTGCCCCCCCAGGCTAGGCCGAGGCCTGGGGTTGGGCATGGGCTGGTGTGAGGGAAAAGGTTTTCCTGAGGCCTCCAACATGAAGGAGGCCTGAGATGCTGAAAGAGGAAGAGAACCTAGGTACCCTGGAACTAAGTGGACTTCAGAGCATGGTCGGTGTCTTTCCTGATTGAGGATCTGCATCCATCTTGTCTGTCTGTTACATCAGTGGCTATCTGCGGTCTCCCAGGTGGATTTACACTGATACTTCTATGAAGTCTGGAGCTTCTGATGGCTACCCTTGGACACCTAGAACCCTTATACCCTCTCTCCTCAGTGTCTGTGTTCAATAAATTGTTTACTTAGCATTTTACTACCAGAGTGGACATCAGTTTATAGGCACCAGAAGTGGCGGTTAATGCTATCGGGTGGGCAGTTGAAGATCATACCCTAGACCGACTAGAAGTAAACCGTGCAACCAGCGGCTCCTACGGGGGTAGCGCTACATTATCTTACAGAAAACATCTGCATATGTTAATCATGCCTAACAAGTACCCTGAAATGTACCCTTTGCCAGGAAATGCTGCTGTAAACCAGCAGAGCACTTCCTGTGCCTAGGTACTGCTGAGCCTTGAGCCTCATAGCTGTCTATCTGCATCATCTACTGGGCTGCTCACTGTTCTACCTGCTAGAGAGGAAGCTGTACCTGGGAGGACCTGAAATACAAGGGTCACCTGTTTTTGCTTCATTTATTTGATTGATCTGGGCTTTCCTAACCTTTCCTGCTGCTTCTTAAATAGTACCCTACCATTTATCAGATCACTGGTGGGCAGCTCTAACATAAGGGAACAAAGCCCTGCTCCGCCTTTAAGAAGACCGCCTCCACATAAAGAACATGCATGGTAAGTCAGTAATGGGGAAAAGATTAGCTGCAGGGAGACCACAGGTAATACTGGTGTCTAGTCCTTTGTCCTCTGCTTGCCTTTTTTGAACAAAGCTTCCACAGTTAAAAAGGTCATTTTTAGGCATTCAACTTAAAAAAGGAATATTTAGTCATTTTTGTTTGCACAGGATTAGCATTTCTGATCAAGTCATGTACATAAGAGATATAAAATATGCTCTATCAAGACATAATACAGCACGCCTGAAAATGCACAGATCACTTTCAATTATGATAACTTTCTAGCAGTGATCTACTTTCATCTGCAATATGCATCATACAGGAAGCATTTCTATTCATGCAGGATGGTTATTGTCCAGATCAACCTAATTGGTTGATTGTCGTAAAATAGTGGAAGTAGGCACAAGCTTGGGTTTAATTAATGAATCAATTGGCTCTTACATGGTTATTCACAAAAAGGGGAAGAGTTTGGAGAAGGCAGGAGAAGTGAACAATCTAGGACAACATGTCTGGACTGGAAAGTGAGCTGAATTGGAGAATTTTTCCAAATCAGCTATTTTGTCCTAGATTGTTCACTTCTCCTGCCTTCTCCAAACTCTTCACCATTTTGTGAATAACCATGTAAGATATTGATGTGGAGCCATAAATGATCTCTGGCTCAATCAACATAAATTCTCTTTCATGTAGATGTGATTTTATCATGATGCGTAAATAAAATAGACATTTTAAGATTGTATATTTGTTATTCTGTGACATCTTGAAAATCCCAATTTTTCTTTTTGTGGATGTGTACATTGAATTTAAGAAATGTGGTGTTGGCAACAATTTATATTTTGATTTTTCTCATCAGCACACTGAATGCAGCTCTCCAATTTGGCTTTCAGTATCCTGTCTCTCCCTTTCCCCTGCTGCTGTATAGGGCACTGAGGGAGGCTAATTCCAAGTAAAGTTATATACTCAAAGTAGCTGAATTTACTGATTTTTTTATGAACACCAAGCTGCATTGATTTGTATATCTGTCTACAGTTCAGCTTTAAATGGCCTAACTGAAGAGAACTCAAATGTTACTTTTTTGACTATTTTAGTGCATCAATGCACCGCCTATGCACTGTTCACATGTTTATACACCAATATTCCTTTTACTTGTAAAGTGTATGTCCAGCCAAAACGTTTTTTTTTTTTTTATTTTGGCTAGATTGAGGAAGGTTTAGAACCCTCGCTTGGTTTCAACTGCTATCTGGGTATCTGGGGCTGTAATAGATTTTCCTTCACTTTCTGCCCGATGACAATAGTTACACCAGACAGCACGTGAGAGTAAATCAACAGCAGCAGAAAGATAGTGGAAAAAAAATGTTACAGGGTTCTAACCCTTTCCTCTCACTATAAAGAAAATGTTAGGAATTTAAAGAATTAACCCTTGCAGTATTGGGATAGCCCCACTACAAGGGTTAACTCTATAAAATGTCTGGAGTTTTTAAGATACTCATTTTGGTCTAGGGACAAAAACAAAAAAACTTAAAAACATTTTTTTTAAATGCACTCATCTGATCCTTGTTCCCGTAGCAGTAACCACTCACCTCTCTCCCCTCCACTCCAGCTGTGGTATATCCTTCGGCATCCTCATGTCCAATGCAAGTGAATGGGTGCGATAACCTCATGGGTCCTTAGACCACCGGACCCTGGGGAGAAGAGGCTGCCGGGATCACTCTAGCAGCCAGGCGGGTATGCCTGTGTTCTTCTTTAAAGACTTATTCCAATTAGCGCCAAAACCTAAAACACTACCGCAAGTAATTAAATAGTTATAACAGCTTGCAAGGAAGTGGCTGCATCATTTCAATAAAGTAGAATGTCATCTGCATGATAACTTTACTTTCAAGCTCCACGTGATCACACCCTAACTCTGGGTGAAGGACAAAATCACAATAGCAAGAGCCAATAAACCCAGTGATGAAGTTGTTACAGTTTACCTTAATGGGAAACCAGAGAATGGCTGTGAAGTGGAATCTGAAGACTGGAAATATCCAAATTCTGTACAAGTCTGGTACATCCATTGTCTACCTAAAAAAAAAAAAAAATTGACATATAACCCATTTGTTTTGCATTATTATTCCATCCGGTCACAATGTTGACTGATAACATTATCAACTTTTCCTTTTCTGACAATGAAGAGGCCAATAGTCACACATTTTCACATTCTGCCCCCTTCACTAAAAAGAAAGTTGAAGCAGTAGTCGCTTTATAATAATAAATGAGGACATTTGTTACCAATGTAACGTAAACCTCTGTACTGGTGTAGAATAAGTATGCAAATCAAGAAAGTCATGGTAGAGTCAGAATTCCTTATCTGCAAACTTGTGGTTCAGGGACTTGAAATATTACAGTAAAAGAGTCATGACATGACTGCCAGACAACAAGTGTTTTCAGAAGAAAAGGTCAGAAGTTACATGGTAGTTTTCCTCAGTAACCCTTGCACACAGTGCAACAGGCAATGGAGGGCTCTGGCTTCCTGTTTTAAAATACGCACCAATTTTTAATTTTTTTGCTGCATGGGGTCAAGTCTCATGCTCAACCCTTGCCATATGAGACAGCATATCCCTTTCACTGTTTGGCATTGGTGGAAAGCTTTTTGGCATTGGAGGCCTGAATAACAGCTACTGCTATTATAGCGCTTAGAACCAGTTCAACTACATTAACGTAGGCAAAGCTTATTGGGTGTCCTAGTTTCATGCATGGTTTAAAGCTGCTAATACAGGGTTCAAAATTTCAAGTCCTGAGCTACTAGCCAGGCCTTAAGAGTCACTAGCCACCAGTGGCTGAAGTTGAAATTGTTCATCTCGGCAGGCTCAGCTCTGCAAGCTCTCGTCAGCTGAGGTGCCCAGGAGAAAATGGCATGACACACTGCTCGCAAAGGCAGCGCGCCACCGCTCCGCTTCGCGTGCAGTGTGTCACGGCCTTAACCCTGCCCCGGCCTTAACTCCGCCCCTAAACACACCCTCTTAAATTATCTTATGATAATTCTTATCTTATGATAGTTGCCGCTTGTAAAAGGCAGATTATAGATTCCTGCTGCAGGAAAACGCAAGTTCCTGACACAGGAATCTCTAAATCACACCTGAAATATACTGTAGGTGTGAATGGGGCCTAATATACACATACACTAAAAGGTGCCCATACACCTGCCGATTATCGTACGATAGTTGTGGGTGATCCCACGATCATCGGCAGGTGTATGGGCAGCGTGTGACCGCTTCTACTGTAAGGTCGTACGACTTTAGTCTTCCAAGCACGCTGGAAAACCTGCCGAGAATCGTACGATTTTGGGCGGGTTGGTGGCGTGGTCGGAAGACGGATGCCGCACGGGCCGGTGTGCGCACGTGCACACTGCCCGCTCAGCACTGCAATCAATCATCGCAAGTACGATCTGCCTGTCCAAGATGGGCAGATCGTATGAAACTTTAATGACCTTACAACCATCGCATAACGAAAGTCGTGCGATGGTGGTAAGGTGTATGGCCAGCTTAAAACACAATAATACGCTTCTCAACGTTAAACCCCACCCCCTTTAACCCCCCACACATAAAATAATACACTTCCCCTTATTAACTCCCCTACACATAAAATATTACACTCCCCCTTATTAACCCCCACACACACAAAATTATAATAGACTCAACCCCTTCCCCCAGCCCCCTCACCTGTTCACATCTTTGCAGGGAGGAGGCTGTGAGCAGGATCGATCCCTGGTTTATCTGCAAGTGAGATAACCAGGCATCGATCCTGCTCACATAACTTCTTTCGGCCGGAGCTCAGAACTGTGAGAGCTCCGGCCGAAGGAAGCCAGAGCTGACAGGAGCGGTTCTGCGGTCTGCATCCGACACAGATGCAGACCGTGGAGCTTCTCCCGCAAGTCAGGTACGCGGTCTGCGACCGTGTACCTGACATGTCAGCTGGCTGCGGGCCACATAGTACCGGCTCGTGGGCCGGAGTTGGTCCGCGGACCAGTACTTGGAGACCCAAATTTCCACTTTTGAGTCCTGTGCCAATATATACTCACACATTTATACATATACAGTATGTGATGTTTGGGGATATTAGCACATATGGTGAGTGGTTTAAGGATGCAGTCCACTTGCAGTACCTACTGTTTAAGGGCCCACTTTTATTCACACAAAAGTTCATACAGCCACCTTGGATACCCTCGCAGGGGTTGTTCAGCATAACCTCCATGCAATGCTTGCAATATAAACACAAGTTAGCCTCCTGGCTTCCATTTTAAACATTACCACTTCTGAGCTACTGGTCCTCTTGGAAGTGTTGTCTCACTTGTACTTGCGGCCCCTCAGACTCATGGCTCTCCTAACCTCACCAGTTCTTCCAGCCTCCCTGGCTGCCTTTGTGTGCTTCCAGCACACACACCACCTGACTCCACTTTAACTTCTGGGGGAGTCCTCCCGTCTCCTGAACACTATTTTCCTATTTTCCAGCAGGAGCTTATTCCCCTAGCATCCTTTCCTTAAGGGCTGTGCACACCTCTGCAATCATCGGGTGCTGGTCACTGCAAAACCCTGGACCTCGGACTGGCGATCTCATCCCTCCTGAATCATTTTGAAACCTCCCAGTTCCAGGATCCCAAGCAGAACCCTTGTTTCCTGACACCTCTCAGCCTTCCTGGCTGAGAGCCCTGGATGATCATACCCCCAGTTCTACAGTGGGATTGCCACACAATAGATCTATTATATATATTATATCTTAACACATATCTCCATACATACATAGACAGTTTATATAATATAAGATTTATCTACACCAGTGAGTTCCTGTCCTGTAATTTCAAAGAACACTACCAAATGTGGCTTTTAAGCCCAATTTTGGTATAAAGTTTCTTACAGCATCATGGAACGAATAGAACATAATACTACACTACAAAATTATGTAAAGGCCCAATATCTCTTTGTTTGTATCTATGGGTACATATACATGCAGATTTTGGCATATTAACAATCACTTCACTTTTAAACAGTTCCCTCAAATTCATTTATTAGGTTTATTTTATAGCCATATTTTCACTGGAATCACACATTTGCAAACATAACTGCTACAATTGCTGGAGTTTTACAAGGAAAGTATATCCTCACTCATGTAACTCTGAATGTGGTGACATGTGTAATAGTGTAACAATCGGATGCCTGAGAACTTTTCTCTATAGTATATTTTTGGCACATATTACTTCCTTTTGCCACAACTGAAATAACACTGGTAATGACAACCACATGGAAGATCATGTTGGAAGCATGCCAAGCAGTAGATTGTGATGGACGCAGTAGCACACAGCTGGAAGTTGAAGCCAGAAAGGGAATTTCTCAAGGTCTGATTTCTCATGTACAAATAAACACAAATGTGCACATGTTCTAATAAAGAGCAAAGTGGGTCATGGAACCCTGAGCAGGAGTGCACTGCAGAGGAGACTCATTAAAACCATAAAATGCAGTAGCCTGCTTGTCCATTTGCTTAGCTGCAAGCAAGTCTCCATTCTTCACATTTAAAGCGCATGTACAGCCAAACCTTTTTTAGTTTAGGATAGTGTAGGGAACTGTTAAAAGCCCTGTCAGTTTATTTTTTCTGCCTGTGTACCAGGAAAATTCCCCTTGAAAAAAGAGAACTATGGGGTTAAGGCTTTTCCCCATAGTTCTCCTTAGGGTAACGGGAGGACACAAACTAGCGTCCTCCCGTCACCCTAGGCTCAGTATACAGCTTGCGGTATACTAAGACGCCGCAGCTGAAGCGGATCCCGACAATTAATGTCTGGATCCGCCCAGCTGCGTGAGTGACAGCTGGTTCTGCCTATCTAGAGGCAGAGCCAGCTGTACCCGCCCCCTCCCCCGTCCGTTCCGCCAATCAGTGCTGGCAGATCGGAGCGGGGAGGGGGGAATCCAGCCCCTCCCCTGTCACGGCAGAGAGCCGTGACAGGATCAAGAGGTGAGGGAACGCCGGTATGTGTTCGCTCACCTCCCGATCTACTGAGCCGACCTGTGACAGTCTCATTGTCACAGGTCGGCTAGAACTATGAGGTGAGTGAAAAGCACTCACCTCATAGTTCTCCTTTAAGGATCAGGAGGTGTTGAAGCTAATGTACAAGCTTCAGATCAGGTTGGGAGTTGGGTGGCATGCAATGGCACTATTGCATTAAAACATTCAGTGGTCACTCCAGGAACTTTTATCCAATAGTTCTTATTTATACACTATATTCTTGATAAAGGATGTTTAGAAGCTTTGGCGTAATTATCTGGCTGGCAGATCCAACTGCTCCCCTAAACCATCTGCTTACAATTTTTTATTTTATTTGAGGGTTGTGCAGATTGGAAATGAAAAGAAAGGGAAATATGCCATAGAAAAATTTAAATTGGTGGACATTTAAGAAAGAAATACAGGGACTCCAAAATTGCCATGTTTAGAAATTATATATATAGATCTATATACACACACACCGATGTCGGTCCTGATACTTGTATCGTCCCGTGAGACCCTCCGGACCCACTGTATAATGTATTCCTGGGATTTGTAGTCCTCTATAGCTGATGGTATTCTGCATAATGTATTGCTGGGATTTGTAGTCCTCTATAGCTAGTGCTATTCTGCATTGCTGTATAATGTATTGTCGGGATTTGTAGTCCTTCTACAGCTTGGAGTCAGTGGCAGGACTACAAGGATCGCAGCGGTTGCAGCTGGGACTATCATTTTTTAATTTTTGTTATATTAAAGTGTATGAAAACCCCCATCTCATTTTTGATACTGTTCAATATACCATTAAAAGTGTTTTAGTTATATCTGCTCACATCACTGCATTGATATTGAGTTTGGTTTTTAACCACTTCAAGACCAGGTGTTTAGACCCCCTTCCTGGCCAGGCCATTTTTCAGTATTAAGCGCTGCGGTACTTTGACCGACATTTATTCCGTCATGCAACGCTGTACTGAAATTAATTTTATACCATTTTTTGGGGATTTTTTTTTTTGTTTTTTTTATTCTTTTTTATGTGTAACTTTAAATTTTGGGGGGGGTGGGGACTTACATTTTTTTTTCACTTTATCAAACTTTATTGCTATCACATGCCATACCGGGCGTGTATGAGCGGACGTCTAAAGATGCCCGCTCAGATCTAGAGACCTCTCGGCTGGCCGTTTTGGTTAAAAGCTCCTGCAGATGGCCATACTGCTGCTTAATAAAAACAAAGACACATTTGACATCCTTTTTTTTGTGCGTTTTCAGACTTGAGTGGCTAGTTGCAAGAAGGAGGCGGCGGTTGTGTGCTGCAAAAATCGCACAAAAGATGCGCGATACATTTTGCAGGAATTCCCATTTAAGTCTATTGGGTACAAAATGTACTCCTGTGCTCTTTTGAGCGTTGAATGACCGCACATCGCTCAGATGTGAATGGGCACAATAAATTTACATTGACATCTGAGTGTTGAGCATTGAAGTGCTTCTGGAAACACACTTCAAATCACTCAGGTGTGAATGAGAGCTTAGGCTGTGAACTTTTACCAAACTTTTTTATGGATAGGTCCAAATAGAACATTTTTTTGTTGTTGCTAGC